TTWAAAWWWWAAAAAAAAAGGACTTTTCAAACTGTAATAAATGCGGTCCAATCTTCGAAGATGTAACTGCCACGTAAAATTTAGTGATAATAATATTAMTTATTATTATTATGCAGGGGTATTGTTGTAATTACATCATTATGGAAGGGTTAATATATGTGCCCACTCAGTTCCATTTTCATAGGTTAATATTAGTCGCTCCCATTTCCGTACTATCTTTCCAGGGTGTTCTTCTTGTACCTTTTTATATAATAAAATTAAATTTCTCCATATTGTTTTTAGGTTCAGTAATAAAGTTTTAAAAAATTCAAAACCTTATTTTGGTTTGTGCTATTATGATGTATCAATTATTATTTAATAAGTATTCTATTCTGACTTAAAAAGTGTGTATAAGCGTATTAACAATCAACTGCTTTACTATATCAAAATATTAAATTTTAGATAGAAGACCCCCAACCGTAATGGTCGAGTGAGGTGAGCTTTAAATGGGGTAAAAATTAAAAATCGAATAGCAACAATAACCAAGATTATTATTTTTTGAAATTCAAATGTTAAAGTAGACATTTTGAAAATGTGAGGAATATTAGGGGTATAAATTTAGAGATAGTTTCTTAATAATTGTTTTAAGGTAGCCAATCATTATTCTATTTTTGAAAAAATAATTCTATGGAACAATAAGAGAGAAAAGCAACAATGCTTTTAAAATAGTAAGAGAGAATGGTGAGATAATCATTTAAAAAGAAAAGGGGAAAAATGAATGGTTTGAAATAGTTTTGATGTGTGAATGTTGATGTGCTAATAATAGTTAGAATTATGTGGCAGAATGAGAGACAGTTGTGAACTAAATATTTGGAAGCAAAGGTTTTTTTTTTCTTTTTCTTTTATTATTATTATTATTATTTTTTATTTTGTAGATACCATTATGTCATTAGATTTGCAAAATTTTGTTGCTAAGATTATTAGTGCTTCTTGACAATGAAGTCACCAAAGCTCTCCACTTTGGGTAATTGGACAAATTCTAAACTTTAATTTTTTTTTCATATAATGTTTATATGAACTTTATTATGTAGGTTATATTACAAATGTAGTTGTGGGGTTAACTACATGGCCGACTTGATTCTGCCGGAATCAGAATCGAGAGAGTCGGCCTAACAGGTCGACCTCAGCAACATAGGCAAACAGGCGAATAGCCAAGCCTCACCCATCGCGACAGGGAATAGAATAGTTAATGGCAAGGACTAAAGGTTGTTCAGGAGAACCMTGCCCGAGCAGTGGAATACACTGATGAGATGCATATTTACCCTATCTACGGCTATAAATACATCACTCACCCATGGGCCCAGGAACGAGATCTGTCGATGCTGACCTATTGAGCTTGGATTAAATACTGACTTAGGCATCGGAGTGGCTTACCTCCTTGCAGGTACTCGGAAATCTATTCCAAGTGTCGCCAACYGACCTCTGAACTCATCCTCCATACCTCGACAGGCTTATGCAGCAAAACTAGTCTATGATTATTTGAACTTTATTTCAATTCCCTCCCCATAGTTTTATAGGTCTAAATTTAATTTTATGATTTTAAAATTTTCAATTTGGTTTGAATAAATTAGACCTCATCTCATAAGAATTATTAATTTGTTTAGCTTTTTCACTTTCCTAATTTGAAAATAAAAAAGAAAATGATGTTTGGAGATTACGTGTCCACTTGATGGCCGTTTAGGATATATTGTTAATCTATATTATCTTATATATTACGTGTAGAAACAGCATCTGGTTTTGGTCATCCAAGGCCATGATTTGGTGACCATAAATAATCCAAATATGCTTCATCGCTTCCAAATCCATTTAAAACTTAGGTCTTTAAAATAATAATAATGTCTGTGTCACGTAACCAAATAATTAAATCTTCTCCAAGGCCATATCATATGATAAGTTAATGAATAATTTAATACGACAAATGTTAAAGCAAATATAACTTATAATAAGACAAAATGCCAGAATCGCCATCTTTTCTTGATCTTTCCCACGTGAAATAACCTGGAATCACTGCAGATTTCATGGATTTTTCCCAGATAAAAATGAATCATCAAAACCTTATTCTATTAAACAATAATGTCTGAATAATAATAAGCTGTCAGTCTCTAGTGGTTTGTCTATGAAACAGCAAGATTAGAAGCCCACTTTATAGCCACTACTAAATTTCTTAATTGGGCAATTCTTGACGATGGAATAAATTGATAAACCCATAATAATTCAACTATTCAAGTAAATGAGTCTGGGATTACGAATGAATAATAATGTATCCTTCCAATGGTTAACAGTGGGCAAAGTAATATAATTACCCAAAACAATGCTTCCCCACCCCAATCAGAACAGGGTTTATAAGCCTTGTTATATACCTTTGCTGTTCTCCAAAATGCCTTCCTAATTCTACAAGAGCTTTCTAACAGGACTTTCTCCAGACATTTTCTCAAGTACTCGAATCCGTACAACTGGTGCTTGCTAAATCTTAGTAAATTATAAGGGTGAGAAGAGAGAAGACATTRGAGACCGGGTTAATTTGTGCATGCCGATGCAGGAACTTTGTTCGTCAAGGCAGCGAGCTCCTCGTCTTGCTGCTTCTTCAAGTACCTTTGGGCAGTTGAAGTCATAATCTTGATAGAGAAGTTCATGATCATGAGCCATACTATAGTGTTCCAGAYGGAAGAAACCGAGAAATCCCATTTCTTGTCCTGAAGTTTAGAAGTGAAGGGAAAATAGAAGGAAAGAGGCATAAGCTGAAGAATGTGAACAATGGGTTTCAGCAAACATGCTCAAGAGACCAAAGTAAAAGAATTTTCATAAGGCAATATTACGGGAGAGTAATACCTTGGTATTAGCGGCCGCATGAGATGGTGCTTTCAGATACTTAGCTTTGACTGAGTTGAGCTTGGCAATCAGCCCCGGCAAGATAGATGAAAATCCAGGCACAAAGCTGAGGACCCATATTAATTCGTTTTCTATCCAATCAAGAAGTTGATTGTTGCAAACAGCAATGATGAAAATGGTCTGCACCAGAAGGATATAATAAAACAGTAACTTATCAAAACATACACGGCACTTAAATATTTACAACGGATTGCTCAACGTTCAGAAAGTGTAGAAGAAGTTTCTAGGTTGGTTTTCCATTTTCGTAGTGTTGATACAACCATAAATTTCCTGTTGATGCCTGTTTCATATGGTCTAATAATTTAGCCCCCTTGCGAATAGCAAATAATAACTGCTCAGCTAGACAAAATAATATTAAACAACAAAATATGGAACCTTCACAAACCTGAATGTGAGTTTTAATTATTGCTTTTCCAACCAGCGTAGCAAAAAAGAATTCCCAGAAAGGAATTCCAAATTGCCCACACATAATGCCGGCTAAGTCGAACAAAGGATTCGGCACCTGAAAGATAACCAGCAAAGGTAAGAAGCTAACGTAGAAATGATATTAATAATGCTGATATGTATCATATGCATCAAATAACAAACTATTAAGTAACAAACATAACATCAGACATTAGCATACTTTCCTTTTCTCCAAATATTGGAAGATAAAGAAAATAAAATTTAGATATGCAGAAAAATCACAGTAGCAATTAAATGTAAAAGTGGATATAACAGATCTTGTAAAGAGTTATCTATATATTTGCTTATTATTCAGATAGATGACTCCCAAAAGAAAACCTTGATATCTGCCTCTGCTCAATTCAGAATTTCAGCAAATTATATAATAAAATTTCAATTGTCCTATTGCTAACTACCAAGAAATAAGGAAGAATCTCATCGCTAATTACCTTATTGTAAAGGTTTTACATCCGGTCTGGAGTTGTCTAAAAATGTGCAGATCAAAAGTAAACATGCTGACAGGTATCTTCAAGAAAAATTATTGGCAATATTTGTGCTTTTTATATATGCATATACACTGGAGAAAAATGCACATGAACTGCAAATTGCAATCATCTAGCTTAACGATCCATCTAACATTTTTGTGTCTTGGTCATTTCACATAGTTTTTCCATTTTTCTGAATATCAGTGGCCAAAGGCCCAAAACCGAAAAATAGAAATTTAATTGGAAAACTACCTAATGAAAATTAGGTTTTTTATCCCGTATAACCTTGGGCATTAAGCTTAGCTGACATGAAATTTTCCCATGAGACAACTGTTGAAGAACTAATAAGATATGTAATACCCTAGGGAGGTGGTTGTCATCAAAATGTATCTAATTTACAATGTCTCTCTCTCTGACCACCAAGTCTGTCATGAACATAACTTAAGTTGGGGGGAAAAAAATCATGTGAAATGAGCACACCAATAATGTTACCCCCATCAACGAATGGAAAAGCTAGCAGAAAAACATGAAAGAAAGGAAAATAAAATATTCGTAATTTCAGAGAATAAAGTCATAACTAACCGAAGCAAGCAGTAAAATGGTAACGAAATTCAAATGTTGAGCATGTGAAAGGAACCATCGCTTGATTCTATTCAAATGTTTAGGGATGAATCCATTAGTTTCCCTTGAAGAGGCATCTAGTTCTTCCATTGCTTCTGATCTGCCACCAGAAAGGCGTGCTGCACAATGGAAGATAAAATTTGAACATAAAAGATGAAAGCTTGGGATATGTAAAGCACAGCAGCGATGCCGAAAAAGTATTGTAACATAACAAAGCATTAAAACCGACCTAGAACATGTTAGTTTCCCACTGCACAATTTCAGACAACAGATTTGGTATTGTTGGTCTTAAACATAGCACTAGTTTCCAAGTACAAAAGTAAAAACTAGAGCAAGCTCCTGTTTGCTAACACATTCTGCTCGATCATACCTTTATATCATCATCTATGACAAGAGGAATGGTTTCCAAAAGAAGCGTAACATTAGCCATAGCCAATCATAAGCTAAAACTACCTACACTATGTCCTCAAAGCCAAATGTCTTGCCCAATAGTCTCTACCCTATGATAGCATATCACTAATTATTGAGATATTTGTATCTCCCACTGAGAGAAGATCGGAAAAAAGCCCAACCATTTAAGATCATGCTTCTATGTTATCATCAAGTCATAACTAAACTAAAGCATAAAGTCATAACTAACATCATTCGAGAGAATAAAGTCATAACTAAGCATTTTATATGTTCATAAAGTTTCAATACATTTTTCACAATCATGCTTCTATGTTATCATCTAACATCATTCGAGAAGAATGACCAAAATCACTCCCATTATCAAGAATTGTGTAAACATCACTAGAAAAATAATAAATCACAAAGTATTGACAATTAGGACCACGATAGAATTTCTATTGAAACATTTTTATAAAATGTTCTCTTTCAGCATCACAAACAGTTATTACAAAGATAAGTTCCACCCACTTAAGAAAGTTGATAAGAGACGAATACAAAATGATCATGGTTGTCTCACAAAATAAATGACATCATAACTTCTGACGAATGCTAGTGAACGCTAAATTTTTCATACCTGCCCTTGAGATAAAATAAGGAGGAAGCTCTCCTAAGGCAGTCCCAATACCCCACAGAATCGCCTCTAACTGAACCATTGGCAATATGCTGCTGAGTGGGACTCGCGATGTAAAAACTGGAGGTCCAAATTCTGAGCAATCTTTCTCGAGCCATGATGGACCTCTTTTTAATTGTATTGTGTCATAAGGGGCACTCTTTAAGTCAACTCGACCACACTGCACTGCCTTTATCGTGAAAAACCCAATATGAGGCCCCAGATAAAGGACAAAAGTATGCAGGCCAGACCCTGAAAGTAAATGATAGGGAGTGTCAGTGAAATAAAATAACAATTTCAGAGCCGATTTAGATGCTCCATCACATCCTATCAATGCAAGATTAACACATAATAAGTACAATCCTGATGATTACAGCAAGCAGTAATCTAAATATCACAGAAAAGTATTGCCTCTTCCAAGGAAGTAACAATAATTATCACTACCAACCATCACTTAAATCAAACAACATTAATTACCAAGACCAATGGATGAAGCAACTCCAAGGATCACCCACCACAATCCGTAGTCAAAGTATTTCACAATCTCCTCAACATGCTGCAAAAAMAAAGAAGATTTATTTGACAAAACGAAACCCAAGAACTGAAAGCCAATGGATAAATTAAAAGGAAAAGGACAACAATTCCAATAATAGAAATAAATTCACTTCCTGGATACAAAATGCAATAAGGTAATTAATGAAAAGACAAATTCCCAAATTCAATCAAAACATTTGTTAGGAGTTCCACCAAATTAAATGGACAACACAAAGATACTTTAAAATGTCATCACGAAAGGATTATCTTGGTTTAACCAAAATGAAGTTTGCAGATACATACATATGCACTCATACTGTTGAAATGGGCAAATATGCAGAACTAACATGAATTCAAAAAGGCTGGGATACCTTCTCATGTGGCCCTTCAATATTCAAAATCAGAATCCCGGCTGCTCCAATAATAACGTTTAAAAGCAAAAGCCAACCACCTTTCGATAAAATGTATGCTATCGAGCTTTTACTATATTGAAGAACACCCAAAAGGAAAAACTTCAATGTTTTGAAGGGTTGAGTCACCAATGTCAAATTGTCAAGTTCTTGTTTGTGCCTTGTTCGTAGTTCTGCAAATTATTGCAACTTCATCAGGTAACAAAATGCAATGTGAATGACCCCCAGTGAGGATGAATTTGACAATATTTGTTCTCATTAGTTCCATAAAAAGTCAAGTGAAAGCAACGAGAAAAATGGTAAATGTTCAGAAATAAATCAAACTAAAGAAGCAATAATCAAATGCATCTCACTTTCGGTACTCCAATAGATCCGGAACTAATATACATATTTCCGCGTTCGTTTGTAATTTTCCAGTACACCAATCAAGTGTCGCCCATGACGGATCACTTCATTAACCCACTTCAGCCAATCCCCAACCTCAAATCTCTCTTTATGGACAACGATAATAATAATCTAAAGAATACAAAGAATCCAATGCTAGAATACCAACAGCAAGCTCCCTTCTCGCGGATACAAGTCTTACCATCAAAATCCATCGGGCAACAAAATAGTAAACGATTATAACAAGCTGCCAGTGCCAAATTAAAACGCTCTAATTTTCTTCAATTCATATTACATCAATGCTTGGCAGAACAAAAGATCAATTACGAGAGACTGCAATACTTGCCTGAGAGGGATACTTCAGAATCACGAGAAGCAATGGAAGCTGCTTCTTCACAAGTCCCCATTCCGGTGACCGCAAGTATAAGACCGTATCGATAGCGAGAGAACGGAGAAAGAAAACAAAAATTCTTCGATTTTCAATCTTAATCTCTTGTTTGGAAAAAAAAAAAATGTTTGCACGCAGATCAGAGATCGACGAGAATCATGACAGGAATCGAAACCGTAAAAGGGATAAAGAAATTTCGAAAATTAACATCTATTGTTGCGGATCGGTAAACAAAGGGCCGAGAAAGGGAAAAATCGAAGGAGTTTTTGAGTCGAAGATCCGCTCGGCAGAGTTTATCGCTCCTTCTCTCTCCCCCCTCAAGATCGAACCCTCAATTTTAATTTTAAGTTTTACATAAATAATCGTTTTCCCCCAATTTTCATCAAATTAATTTATCAAGATTTCTTCTTATAATTTAATGATGACGGGATAAATACGTCCATAATAAACATTGTGGGATAAAAAAAATTATTTATAATTCAAAGGAACGRGAGAGAGATATTCGTGGTTTAAGAATTTATTATTTTTTTATTTCGAATGTTTTTGTGAAAAATAGTTGGTTTGTCAAATTACTCATGACATAGTTACGAGTGAGTTTATTTGTTTTTTATTTACAAATAATTATACCTCACGAGTCACGCGACTTCATTAATTATTCTTAAAAGACCACTCCTTTTGAATTGGAGAAAATTACAAAATTAGTGTAAAAAAAATTTATGTATTTATATATATTGTATTAGGTTTGAAAATTTTACTAAAATAGTATAATTTGTAAACTTATATAACCATATGCCGATTAGTTTTGTGACACTTTTTTAAAAATAGGGGATAGGGATATTTTTATAAATACATATTTATTTTATGAGATTTAGTATAATTTCTCTTTGAATTAAACTAAATTTTAAAAGACAGTTATTACAATAGATTAATGAAAAAATTTTACTTTTAAATATGACGTGTTTTAAAATAGGTTTAAATACTATTTTAATTCTTTTAACCTCTAAATTTTTTTAAAAAATATGATCATCTTAGTTCATTTATTTTATTTTTTGTCTCATTTTTTTTATCACAATTTCAACTTGATACTATACTCAACCATTTCTTAAATGTAGTCAAATTTTTAAAAAAGAAAAAAGAAAGAGAAATGAAGTAATAATTTTGTATTAAAAGTTCTTATTGTGTATAGAATTTATGTTAGAATTTTAAAAATATAGACTAACTTTTAAAAAACATAGATACCAAAACGGACGTTTTGATTGTACATAGATTAAGATGAACAAAATTTTAATGTATATTCATCAAATTAATCATTTAAAATTACATGAAATAAATGAATAAAAAAAGTATAATAACTAACTTTTGATTTTCATTCGATAACAAAAAAAAATAGAAAAATGAAAAACGAAAAATTATCAAATGAGCCCTAAAATGATATTTAACTATTTAAAATAAGTTTTTAGATTACAATAATATTTGTATAATTTCTATGAGCCAATAAATGAAAATAATTCCATGGCCCAACGTGGTTTGGATTGTGAGTAACTTTAAATTTTTTAGAAAAATACCTAAAACTATTTTTTTATTATTATTTTTTTCCAAAAAGTATAGATAAGCATGAAGGGAAGGAATAAAGGGCTAAAAATCTAAAATCCAATATTTGGAAACCGTTTTCAAATTTCCTATTTATTATGGTCAACTTAATATTTAAGGGGAAATAAAATTCTACTTTTRTATTCCATGACATTGCTTACAAGTCAAGTTGTATTATCCATTTTCAGATATTTTTATGGATCGCACTTCAAGACCATTTGGAATATTCTAAAGCTTGAGAACGAGAAATGTATAAACGCAAGTTTTTATTTTTTTAAAAATTTAAATGGTATTATTGTTTCATATATC